AGAATTGAAGAATGATATTGAAGCACTAGAAGAAGGGAGGAGACGCAGTAGTGGTCCAAGGAGGTATGTGGCAAGGCCTCGAGAAGAAGCCAATCAGCGGCTTATGGATGACTATTTCACGTAGAATCCTATCTATAATTCTACTATCTTTCGTAGAAGGTTTAGGATGAGAAGGCTCTTGTTTCTACGCATTGTCCATGCCCTAGGTGAGTGGTCTCCCTTTTTCACCTTAAGAGTGGATGCTGCTAATCGCCCTGGGCTATCTCCAATTCAAAAGTGCACTGCTGCAATAAGGCAGTTAGCAAATGGAAGCCCAGCAGACCAGCTTGATGAGTATATTAAGATTGGTGAAAGTACTGCAGTAGAGTGTTTGAAGTTATTTGTGGAGGGAGTGATTGCAAAATTTGGGGCGGAGTATTTGAGGCGACCAACAGTACAAGATGTTGAGCGCTTAATGGAGATTGGTGAGCGTCGTGGGTTCCCTGGCATGCTAGGGAGTGTTGACTGTATGCATTGGCACTGGGAAAAATGTCCTTATGCATGGAAGGGTATGTATACCCGCGGTGATCACGGTGTTCCTACGATCATTCTAGAGGCAGTTGCTTCGCACGATCGTTGGATATGGCACGCCTTCTTTGGTGTTGCCAGATCGAACAACGATATCAACGTGCTTAACCAATCACATTTGTTTGTCGAGCAGCTGAGAGGAGAAGCTCCTCAGGTGCAATACTCTATCAATGGTAGACAACATAATATTGGTTATTACTTAGCAGACGACATATATCCAGAGTGGCCTGTTTTCGTGAAGTCTATACGTAAACCACAATCTGATAAACATAAACTTTTTGCTAAGAAGCAAGAAGGGGCAAGGAAGGATGTTGAATGCGCCTTTGGCATTTTGCAGTCTCGCTTTTGTATTTTGCGTCGACCAGCCTGTCTATATGACCAAGGAGATCTGGAGAATATCATGCTTGCTTGTATAATTCTCTACAACATGATAATTGAAGATGAGAAGGATATAGAGCAGGTTTCAATTGATTTAAATGAGGAAGCCAGCACATATACTGTTCAAGAAGCTACAATCCCTCATGGAGAAAACCCTGAGATGGAAGATGTACTTAACAGAAATACTACCTTACATGATTGCCAAGCGTATAGACAACTTCAATCTGATTTGATTGATCATATTTGGCAAAAGTTTGGGAATACATATAGGCAAAATAATTAGGTACATATCTTCAATCTGATTTGGTTTAGTGTGCAAATATAGCTAAGTCATCCTAGTATGTTTGTTTACAAAGAACAGATTAGGTTTTTGAAAAACACATGTGCCAGTTCAACCTTTCCAATTGCACTAAGTAATGTTTTTCATCTAATCACTATTTCTTTCCTTATAGATGATGGTTTCTGAAGATTTGGAGTCCATTGCGACCTGATGGATTTTGGAGTGCATGTACAACCTACCTGACATGGACGTGGCACCTTATTATTATTTTTTGCATATGATGAACTTCAGTACTTCCGTACGAACTATGTATGTTACATGTTATCTTTATCTCCGGATTGCTATTATTAATTAATGTATGGTTTTCGAGACTGAAATATGGGTTGCTGTATGGTGATATTTGGTTCTGGAAAGTGATGGATTGCAGAAATATGATTTATGTTTGCCGGCTGTGTTGATTTGCTGGCAGCTATCGACCAATTTTGTTTCTTTGTCATTGTGTGTTGTCGACGGAACATATGTGGGCTGTAAAAATAGTTGTCACAATTGATATATCTGTTTTTGGTGCTGCATTTAATTTACTCTTTGTATGAATGATGTTATAGAAACCATAGGTTGAAAAACAGTATTTTTTTGTGCGGTATCCTATGTTATAGAAACTATTAGTTTTTTTATTGAAACTGCCCTAATAAGCACATTTTTATTCGGCAACTGCGCACCATTATTGTACTGTTGGCAGGCGTCAAAGTGGTTTGTCCGGACCTCCTTGGCAGCCTTACGCTGATCCTACCCGTTCGATGATGCCCAGGCCTCTCCAATTTTGCTTTTGCCGTGCGCTTGTGGCTTTAGATCCTTTTTTTAGGAAACACGGTACAGTACAGTTACAGACGAGCGAAAGCACGTGTAGAAAACCAGTCAGTTTGTTCGGCCCAGGCAATAATCATGCGTCAATGCATGCCTCGCACACTCGTACCAGTCAGTTTCACACAGGTAGTCAGGTGTGTCCCGACAGGCCAGGCTCCCAGCGACCCGCCGACGGCCCCCCCAGCCCATGCCGATGCCGGCATGCCGCTCTCCCATGCGGCCATCGCGTGATAGGCGTCAGGCGGCCACACAGGATGCCAGGAAAGAGACGTGGAATAATAATCCCGGGACAGACGGCAGACATGCTCCCCACCAGTCCACCACAAATTCAGGCAACCATCAGATCGCGCCTAGGCCTCTCTTCGGACCCAGAGAGTACCTGCGCTACGCCTTCACGGCTCCACCGTCCACGCCTGACGCCTCCACCATGCACGAGTCCCTGATGTTTGATGATGATCCATGATCCCCAGTCTCCCTCAATGCAAGCACCAGGCAGCTACGCCGCCCATCCAGATTCCAGAGACCAGGGTGGGAGTCAAGGTGGTGGGGTGGGATGGTCCCATCTCTATTTTCTGGGGCGGGATGGAGATATGACCACTCTATTTTGGTTGAGATGGGACGGAATGGATCCATTTTGTCTTTGGTTGAAAGGATAAGTAGGAATGAGATAGACGAAAAATTTGACGCCGTTGGCTACTGTTGTAGTGGGACCCACCAGGACCCATGTGTAAATCTTTTTTCCTTTTACTATATATATGTCAATCTATTTTCTCCTTTTATATTATACATAATAAATAAATAAAATCCTTCCCCTTCTTCATCCGTGCGCACGCAGCAGCAGATTGGCCGTGCCGCCGTCCGGATGCGGCCCCATCCCAGGCGGCCCTGCAACACCGGCCGCCCGCTCAGAGGTCGCCCGGCCGCGCCGCGCCCCCCGCTCGGAGGCCATCCGGCCACGCCGCCCGCTCGGAAGCCGTTCGGCCGTGCCGCGCCACCCGCTTGGATGCCGTCCGTGCTGCGCCGTCTGGAGCTCGCCGTGGCCGTCCGTGCCCGCTCGGAGGCCGCCACCCAAGCTGGAGCTCGCCTGCCCGGTCGTCTCACCGTCTACAGCTCGCCGAGGCCATCAGTGCCCGCTCGGAGGCCGCTCAATCCGGAGCTCGCCGCCCGCCCGGCCCCGACTGGCCGCACCTGCCCGGTCCTGCTCAGTCGCACCATGGATCCCGGCGCCCATGCAGCTCCTGCTCGCCGCCCGTCCTGCCACATCCGCCATGTCCAGCACGCGAGGGAAACGGAAGGTGACGGCGGCAAAGGTGGGATGACTCTGCCCGGCAAATTTTCGGGGACGAGCTCGCCCCAGTTTCACGGGAATATTCCTAGGATATTCTACAGGTGGGATGATCCCACTCCAGCTGCCTCCCAACCAAAAAGCATCGGAACCGGGCTCGTCCCGTCCCGTCCCGTCCCGTCCCTTGAACCAAACGCATCCTAAACCGGCAGGTCTGCCAGCACCAGCGGTGGCGGCCGGCGGCCGAACAAAGCGCAGTAGGGAGCACGCAGGAGACAGGATGGGGACGGCAAGCGTCAAGCGGGACAGTGGCCCCGTTAACTTCGTTGAAAAGCCAGATAGAAAAGTACCGTCGAGAAAAACATTGTACCGTAGTTGGCCGATAAAGCGAGCAGGGCAGTAGAAGATACAAACGCCCACTTTTCTCGCCCTGCCTTTTCGGGAAAATCTGCGGATCTAGCGATCGACCATGTGGCAGCAACCGGCGCGCTACCGGTAGGGGACTCTGCAGCGTGTATACGGAAGACGGAGCGCTCGTTTTCACCGGTTCGCCCGTCGCATCATGGACTAGATAAGGCACGATGTTTCCATGCTGATAGGATCATGGGAACAACAAGAAACAGGTCCCAGAACATACAATTGTCAAATAAAATTTTAAGAAGCATATAGCACCGAAGTCGTTGTAGTATAGTGGTGAGTATTCCCGCCTGTCACGCGGGTGACCCGGGTTCGATCCCCGGCAACGGCGCTACATTTTTTTTATGTCAACTTTTAAGTGAGTCTTTCGAGATGCAGCATGGCTTTGCTTTAGAAATCACAACAACGTCAACGAGAACTTTCATATACGGAGTACTTGATAAAATACGTCAACGAGAGCTTCATATACGGAGTACTTGATAAAATACGTCAACGAGAGCTTTCATATACTTGATAAAATTTCATCAAATTGGCCTGCTGTTTCTTTGTCTGGAAGCAAAGTTACTCCACAACCACTAAAACCATGAGAAAAGGACAAAATAGAAGGTGAGTAGCATATTGAGTATCAAACCCGACATTGCAGCGTTTACAGCTGACATCGATCTTGCTACCAGTGCTCTCGGGAAGCAAGCAAGCAAGTAACGACACTTTTAAGCTAATCTTCTCAAAGATCAAACCATTAGGCAAGGGATACAGTGATTTTTTTTTCACAGCGCCATTTTGCATTGCAAATATATTAAACAGACAAATAAACACGACAACACACATAATTATGGTTTCTGGGGGGAAGATCAAACCATTATACAAGAGAGAGAGTGGTTTTTTTTGCAGCACCACTTTGCATTGCAAACATATTAAACAGACAAATAAACACGGCAACACACATAATTATGGTTTCTGGGGGAAAGATCAAGACTATAATCCGTAAACTTTATTTTAATTTGAAGGTAATCCAATCCAACATTACACCTGTTGCATCACACAAAAAAGGGAAAAACGTGTAAACGCCCTAAAACTAACAGGACGGTTTCCAGGAAGTGAAAATCTTGTGTTACAGCAGAGTGATCTCAGTCCATAAGACTAACCAAAACAGTATTTCCTTTCAGTATGACTGTCCACATGAACAAGTGAATTATACTATATCGTGTTTTACTTCTTAGGAGGAGGGCCATTTGCTGTGGGGACTCCACCTTTGGGGGGGTTCAGCTCGTCCCAGGCCTCAATCCACGTGACCATGGAGTCGGCAAGCTTGTTGAAGTAGCCATCCACCTTACCGAGCTTTGCCCTCACCTGCTTGGCCAACTCGAGGTAGCACTTTTGGACCGTGGTGGCCTCCTTTGGAAGGGAGACTGACTGGAAGAACGGGATCAGCTCTTCTTGCCAGAAGATGCCGTTGTATTCCTTCTTCAGGTTCACAAACGGGTTGCTTGCTTTGCTGTGCCAGATGTAGGGTAGGCCAGTCTTCACACCCAGGCCCAGATGATCCGTAATCACCTGTGTGTTGCAGCAGATAAGACATTGGCGTGGTTTTGTCAGTACAAAGATACTGAACTAAGACATAAGAAAAATCACCAGGCAATTTACAGTCAATAAGCATCACTGGTAATAGCAACTAGCCTGCACAACACAAGTTCTTACAACCAATTGTGGGCCATGGAATTGTTTTTGTTGCGCTTATGGGCATAACAGGAATGCAAATAGGAAGGTGATAACGGAATATACCTTTGTGCACCATCCTGCCCACATATCATCGTAGCGACCAATAGGCTGGCCATCACCCATAAGACCAAAGTACATTGCAGGACCAATGAGCTCACGGTCAAATGCAAGGTTCATTCCACACATAGGGAAGAGAGTGCCCTTCGGGATTGTAAGAATAGCATCCACATACCTGATTTCAAGAAAGAAACACCAGTTAGTAAAAGGCGACCACCTGAATGATGGAACCTACCGAAATGTAGCATTTTTACCTGGTGTTTCTCTCAAGGGGCTTAACAAGCTGGGTAGGGGCATCATAGTCTGGAATGTTGAGCCAAAGCCCGTGAGAAACAGCAGTTGGGACACCCTCACGAAGGCTGAAGGGGTACCCACGAACAAAATCGGCGCCAACACGGTAAGGGTCATACAAAGTATTGAAGAAAAATGGAGTAGAAGGGCTCAGGAGGTTTTTGATATGCTGCTCAAGTGCATTGATGTCCTTCCCTGATGGATCCTTGGCAACCTGAAAGTTTTGAAAAGCCATAGCTCAGCAGTTAGCATTTTGCCTAAACACATACAGAGTATCTTGGACTAAAATATGCCATCATACTCAATGGCTATAAAATTTATACTGAAAGGGGTGGGCATGTGCAGTGTTAGTTTCAGCTGCCAACAAACATAGAAAACTATCCTGTTTCATGTTCTGCAGGCCTTCCTCACATGCAAGTAATGCCACGAAAGTGAACATCAGCATAGTATTTTTTAATAGGGAGAATTGTCTGGCGGACATCCAAAGTGATGGTCGTTTGCTGGCGGACACCTCGTTTTGAGCAGTTTGCCAGAAGACACTCTGGTTCGGTAAAATTAGGCCACAGGACACCGCGGACCGGTTGCAGCCGGTTGAAGAGAGAGAACAACGGTGAAATGACATTCTTGCCCCTGCCGCTTTCTTCTTCCTCTCTTTCCCTTTCTCTTTTTTTCCTGTTTCTTGTCCCCGCCACCCTCTCCGCCTCCCGCACCCGCCGTCTCACATCACGTCGTCGCCTCCGGCGGCCCACTTCGGCGCCGCGCCCTAGCCTCGCGCCTCCGGTGGCCTGCTCCGGCGCTGCGCCCCCGGCACCCGGGCCCGCGCCTCCGACGTCCGCGCCTTGGCGCTCGCGCTCGCCTCCTCGACGCCCTCGGCCGGGCGTCGCGGCCTGCGTGCTCGCCACCACGCCCCCACCTGCGCCGACAAGCCACGCTCGTGGTGCGTGCCTTATAGGGCGGCGTCGCGCGCTGCTCCCCCCCGCTTCTCTCTCGGTGGGCGCGACGGCGTGATGCGCGACGGCGGGCGCTGCGGCGAGGGGTGACGCTTATTGGTCGGGCCACGGGCCACGCATGGCGGCGGCGGCGCCAGCGGTGTCCCCCTTGCTGCAAATGGCTGCAGATGGCGGGCGAGGTGGTGGCGGCGAGGAAGGGACCGTGGAGGCGGGGAAGCTGGCGCTACGGTGGCGGCGGCGAAGTAGGGTCGGCGCCAGCGAGGGCATGGGCGCGACACACCGGGCGCTCCTATCGCCGCAGCGATAGCGAGGGCGGCCGCCGCACGCGCGGCGCTGTGGTCGCGCAAATGCTCACTAGCTCGCCCAAGAAGCCGCGCATGGTCATGCATGTTGCAGCAGCTTCGCCTCCACCGTCCGTCGTCTGCGTGGCGGGTTGGTCGGTCGACGGTGGGTCTGCTGCTCAAAGAATGGAAGAAGAGAAGAGAGGAGGAAGAAGAAGATGACAGGTGGGGCCCGCACGTCGGTGAGAGGCAGAGAAGCGGACCCAACTGTGGCTCAGGGGCACCGGATGTCCAAAACGAAATTTTCTCTCTCCTCAACCGGCTGGTCCACGGTGTCCTGTGGCCTAATTTCACCGAACCAGAGTGTCTTTTGGCAAACTGCTCAAAACGGGGTGTCCGCCAGCAAACGACCATCACTTTGGATGTCCGCCAGACAATTTTCCCTTTTTAATAACAGTAGTAGTTAAAACAAAAGCCATGCTCTTGAGTTAGAAGATTGCTTCTAAAATAAATGGAAAAGGAAATATGATTCCTTGGTAGAGCCCCTGCATCATAAGCAAGAACAACGATCCAGTAAATTAGTATTTGGCAAGTGGGTGGGACCCCAGAGTGAATGCACTTGGGGTGCTGTCAAGATTTAAGCCCTCTAGGAAACTTTATATACCCTAAAGATTTTTCCAATGGCTCTTGAGACATGATTTCTTAAGCTTCCTGTTTCTTCAATTTCTTTACAACATTTTTTTTTGCGACTCATTCTTTACAATATATTCTTTCACAAGCTTTTATGCAGCCTCTAGGATCTCCAGTTTGTCAGAGAGTCCACACAATGCAAGGACAAAACAGTATGTATAAATCAACACAAGGCTTGATGTTGACATGGTCCACCAGGTGGTGGTGATTCCAGGGCAGTGGTAGCTCCAAGCTAGCATTAAGTTACATCTCTCATGCAAAGGGATAATTTATGGTCATAAGAAAAGATTTTGGAAATAAAAAATAGAGGATGGTCCAAAACTACATGGATGATATCACTCATTCCAACCAGATTGTATGTACAGGCTCCGGAATAAACCATGTAAGGTGCAATGCAGATAACTCTCTACTGTTATTTGTATTGTAAAATAAGCAGTTTTGTTCCCTAGTTACTCAGTCTACTGATCATGACCCGGAACATAAAGAAATGCATATGCATCAACACAACCGACACAATATGTCTGCAAGGCGACATATACAAGTTATCCAACAGAGAACAGACATTGTGAACTAGCAGACACCAAAGATCAAGCATATTCCAGTTCATATACCCTACAACTGGAAGCAATACAGGGCCAAAGCAGTGAGGCTAGATCCAATGCTAGATACTTTCTGTATAGCAGTGAAACAAGTCAAAAGTCTAGTCCAAGTAACATGATTGGATCTGACAGTTGAGACCACCAGCAGACACATGTCTGAACTCCAAGGATTAAGGAGACAATATCCAACTCGTCATATCAATCAATCACCTGAAACACGTGAAATTTGCATTCTACCTACCCAGATCACAGCGCTACGGCCATAATTAACAGGACGGGTAACAGCAAAGACGTCAAAACTTTGCATCCCAAAATTTCAATCCAGGACGCATTGTATCCCAAATTTCACAGCTCAGTTCATCCCCACCGAAGAAAACACCCCCAGTGTGTTTTCTCCGTCACCTATATAACCAGATCTGAGCCCCATCCCCACCAAAACGCGCCCAATTACGGCGAGACTATCAGATGGAAACTACTCTCGGATCATCGCAAAGGAGCGGAGGGCACTCACGAAGCAGTCGTCGTCGATGGTGTAGATGTACTTCTTCTTGGAGACCATGTAGCCGAAGCAGCGGCAGGCGGAGTCCTTGAAGGAGATGCAGGAGGCCTTGGGACCCAGCATGCGGTTGATGTCGTTGCGGTTGTAGAGCTCGTAGTCGAAGCCCTCGGGGACGCGGATGGTCTTGCTGGGGTCGCCGTCCTGCACGATGATGAGGTGGTAGGGCTGGAAGAAGGGCCGCCACATCTCCAGGAAGTCGAGGTTGCGGATCGTCGGGATGACGATATCCAGCTCGTCCTTGAGCAGCGGCGTCGGCGCGTGCGAGGCGGACGCCATTGCTGGGGGGCGGGCGAGCGGGCAGCTGGCGGAGGGGAGCGGCCGGCCGGGCAGCGGTAGCTGTGGTGGTGGGACGGGGACTGCCGGAGTGGGGAGGGAAAGGAGGGAAACGGAGGGTATAAATGGAGGGAGGGTGGCCGGAGATGTAACGGCCGCGGCGGGTGGGCTGGTGCGGTGGAGCCGGCGCGGCTGTTGTTGTTTGCTTCTGAAGGAAAGGGGAAAAGGAACAGCGAGTTGTCATGGCTAGACACGCCCTGGACCCATTCAAACGTCCGGCCATTGAAAGGAGCCCGATTAGTGCTGCACTAGTGCAGGCCTCGGTTCGGCCCGACCTGAAGCCCAAGGATGATCTGAAAAATTCATTTTGCTTATATAGATAAATACTTATAATTTTCGAATGGAAGGGCCAGTGCACGGACGTTCGACCACAGGACGTGTCTGCACGCAGCTCCCGCGCCCATTCACGTAGCATCCCATGCCCTGCGCCCGCATCCAAACCGCGCCACTGCGCCCGCACAGGGAAAACCATGTGGGTCTCAAAGTCAGCTGCCCCGCATGTGGATGCAAGCTGCGGAGGCACCCGCACATCAACCATAACGGCGCCCCAGCAGCAGCGGGCGGCTGCGGTAGGCCACTGCCCGCCAGCCACCAGCGTTCATTGTAACATGTGCAACATTCGATTTATCTTTAAAACATGCCGATGAAATATTTACAACAATCGTCTGAAACAAATAAAACACTTAAAACATACGTGTATAACCATAGCAACATATGCAACATCCATATGAAAGAATTGCAACATAAGTCTAAAACTTCTTAAACACTTAAAAACACTCGAAACATGCGTGTATAACCATAGCAACATATGCAACATCCAGATAAAACACTTAAAACGCACGTCTAAAACACTTGAAAACATACGTTTGCAACATGTGTATATTGTCATTGCAACATACTCTCATGCAAACATCTCATATATATACTTTGCAACATCCAGATGAAACATAAGTCTGAAACGCCTGAAACATTTGAAATGCGGCGTTGCCGGCAGGCACGGCCTATCTGGTGGGGAACTGCGGTAGTCATCAAGCTAGGGTCAGGGAACGTCGCTCCGCGCGCTCGCGCACATCGGCGTGGCCCGTTACTCCTCTTGCGATTCTCCCACACCTACTGGCGGCCTAGGCTCGCACGCGTTGGCGCGGCCTTGCTGTTGATACACGCCGCTGTTCACTTGGCCGCAGTCGTCCATCGCCGTCCGTTTACGAGGGATGGGGCGCGACGCAGTGGGGGGAAGGGCACGACGGCGCGGCAAGAGATGGGCGCGCGATGGGGGGAAGGGGGCATGGTGGGGCGGAGTGGGGCGGGTGGATGAGTGGAGCAGGGATTTCTTTTTCTGTTTTTGAGAGAGACACGCGTCTAAGAGCCGCGTCTAGACGGGATGGGCGCCTGTGGTGTATCATTATCGATTTTCGAAAGATTAAACAAAAAATTGGAAAACAATACTAATCTCCATAAAAGTACAATTCTAGTTTCATTATAAATAAATAATTAAGTTGAAAAACATACAAAGGATAATATTTATGATATTTCCTCCATCCCAAATATTAGACATTATGATTCAAATTTTATTCTAAAATATTTAACTTTATCATTTTCTCATTGCACATTTCTCTTCTTCTAATACACATTTTCTTTTCTCAATACATCCGTATCTCTATTTCTCTGTATCTCTCTCTTCTTACTTTTACCACACTTTTTTCTTCGTTTTACTCATCCCTAGCTCCCATGTCCTAAAACTAAAACCTCAATTATTTTGGGACAGCGGAAGTAGCAAATAAGTGCATTAGATTCATCATTGAATATAGTTTATAGTATATATATTTCGTGTCATAAATGTCGATACGCTTTTTATATATAAACTTGGTCAATATAAGATAGTTTGATTTAATATGTAAATCTATATTTATATATCTATAATACCTATAATAGTATTAAAAAGCAAAAATTCTTCCTCCAAATTTTGATCCATTACTCTCCCTTCACTCTCCGGAGCATAAGAGTGCTAGCTGTTTTTATTAAGAGCAGTAGCATGTGATGAATTAGAGATTACTAGTTCTAAATGGTTTATTATTCCGTTCACGGTCCAAACTCAATATTCATACTTATATGAGCGAGAAAAGCGCACGTCTAATAATCATGGTACAGAGTAATAGGCACTGGAAAAAAAAACACTGCCAAACAGGACGTAACAAAAAAGCTGACGATCGAGCGCGGACCGGACGGTGTTCTCGTCGAGTCCATAGCTTCGCCACTTGGAGGAGTGTTGGACACATAGACATAGTATAGGCCAAGAACATAAAGACGCGACCGATTGGCACGACCCGACCTATGCACCTTGAGTGAAAGCGCCGGGTGACTTGAAGATATCAACGATGAATAATCAGCCTGTTCGCTTGCTCGTAAACGATCATAAATTTTTAGCTGGAAACAATGTTTTTCTCTCACACCAAACCAGCCAGCAGTAAATAATTCACGATACGATACGGCCTCCCGAACAGGCTGAATCACGTCAGTGAACGCGCCTTTTTAATTTCCGCGGTGCACGCCACGGCATGGCATAACACCCGAGTGCCGAGTCAAAGAGTTCAAGACGACATGGTATGCCAGCTGGGCACGACATCTTTTGCCTTTTTTTTCTGGGTCCGTGGCTCGCATCGCAGTCGCGGCCCGCAGGTGCCGATCGAGGAGCGAGCAGCTAGTGGCCGTCACTGTCAGAGGCTCGGAGCAGAGAGCACCGTGCGATCGCGTACTTGGACGGTTGCATTGAGAGATCGGAGGTAGGTATACTACACGTACACGTATACGGATCGAGACGACTTTGCTTGTTGCGTGCACGAGCAAAGTCGCCGCCTGACGTACAGTACACTATATGGGGTTAGTGCACACTGAGACTGAGCGCTAGGCAGTGCCTGATGATCGGAAAGTGAGCTCGCTGGCGTACGTCTTTGCCCGCACTGCACGTTGTTGGCGCGCGGGTGTGCCAGTGGTGCCCATGTCACGACTCGACCTCGACTTTATAAAAGAGTTTTAGGTCCTATTCGTTTTACTGAAAAGTCATAGTTGAAAATACCGTTCGCTGATAAATTGTGAGAGAAAAATATTATTCGTTCACTACGATTCATAAGAGAAACGAACAGGCTCAGTGGCTCACTAGTGGACGTACGTTGCCAATATATTTGGCTCAAGTTCAATCCTCGACCATCCTCGGCCAGCCCACGTACAGTACAGTACAGTACAGTACGTGTGTCAATCCATACACGTGCTTTTCTGCCTACAACTACAAGAGCGAGGGGCACAGACGGTTCCAGTCGTTGCACCGCGAATGCTCCTGCAGGCTGCAGGCCTGCAGCCAGTCCGTCACCCACAGCGCCAGCGGGACCGTGTGCGAGTAGTTCACGAGCACCAGGCCACCAGCCGTCGAGCCGAGCGCCCTCGATCCCGACCTGTCGCGGTCGGGGCATGAGCTCGACTGCATCTCATTCCCGTCGTCACCATCTACGAACAGAGTTTTCGGCCATGTCCGTGTGGCTAATAAGTCGTATTTTTTAACCAATAAATAATATTTTTTTCTCACAATAAATCAGTCAACGGTACTTTCAGCTATGGTTTATAACCAAGCAAACAGGGCAACGGTCACCGCCAGCTCGTCAGAGTAAATGGACCAGGAGGCCGTGCCGTCCCGTGCCACCACGTGGCGGACGCGTGCGCCAGCACTCACGGGGGAAGGGGAACAAGTGTACGGCGAGCCCGGAGCCACTGAGCAGACAGGCCACGCTCGGACAAGATGGGTCTCCGACGCGTTCGACGGCGGGAACGCCTCACCAATCGCCGTGTCCATCACCGGCTCCGGCATATTCAGTTTTCGCAATAGGATCGTGATTCTTGAGGTCGGCCGGGCACCATTTTCTTGAAGGCTGAACCGAGAAAGATACAAGTTTAACCAAGGTGCAGCGGGAAGTTGAAGGTAACTGTCGGGTTCATAAACCCGGGGTACCTAATGGGCCCGCTTCCTAGCAAAAGCTCGGCCCAGCAGACGGCATTACGAACGACGCACAACTCCTAGGCCGACCTAGATACCTAACGATAGGCCGGAAGAGCGATCCAGTCTCCGACCGGAAGGCCTGACCAAGGAGGGGACGACGCTCGCTTCCGACTCCGACTCGCTTCTCCGACCGGAAGGCCTGGCCAAGGAGGGGATGACGCTCGTTTCCGACTTCGGCCCACTTCTCCGATCGGAAGGCCTGGTCAAGGAGGAGACGACGCTCGCTTCTAACTCCGACCTGCTTCTCCGACCGAGAATACACAGAACCTCTGCTTACGGCTCTTCTCCGACCAGCGCGGTCGGAGCCAACTGGGAACGACCAGCCGGAGACGCCCGCTCGGTGAGGACCCAAGAAATCATGCAGAGCAGATAAGGTAAGGCGCTCAAGTCAACCGCAATACCGAGGACCTTACCCTGCACATCTGCAAGACAGTACTGTCAGGCCATGCTAGAAAGATACTTTACAGACTTCCAGACATGTCAGAACACAAACAATGTTGTTGGCGCCGACATTTGTCCTACAGTATGGTAGGCGTCGATATTTGCTATACCAGAAGAACAAGATAGAGCCTGCCACATGCATCTGGACATCAACAGTATTATGGACGCTGACAAAACTGTCTTGTACCCGACGGCGTGGGCAATAAGACTAGGGAACACACACACTCTCTCTCTTGAACTTGTAAGGCCGTCCCCTTCATCTATAAAAGGGGATGCGCTCTCTCCCAATAAGGAGGATCATTCCGACTCTCTCTTTGCTTGCTTTAGACATTCTGAGCACTCGAACAGCTTCACGGCTCTAGAACTCTAAAGCTACACAGAGCATACGTTCCAACACATAGCGCATGTAGGAGCTCCCATCACTCTCGGCCCTTCAGTTCAGAGTCTGATCAGACCT